TAACTGCGGAGCCCAGAACTGGTCCCAGTCCTCTAGAGTTGGCCTCACTGGGGCAGAGCAGAGGGGCAGGTGAACCTCCCCTGACCTGCTGCTGGCCACACTCCACTGAACACACGTGATGCACTGTGAAACAGCAGCTGTTGGGCCCAGGAGGCCAGAGCCTGGCCTGCCCGTGGCCACACGTGGGAAGGGAGCAGTGGAGGCAGAGGGAGCTCCCAGGCTCTTATCTGTGTCCTTCACACAGGAGCTGTTTTGGATTCCAGGCACTGAGAATTGTTGCAGCTTTCTCTTCCTCCCATCTCCTGCCTGTGTGGGAGGTGGGGTCTGCTGGGCACCAGGTCCTCAGTGCTCCTGGGAACACAGAGCAGCTCCCAGAGGCCTCACTGCTGTCCAGAGCCTGGCCTGGCCCCTGCTGCCCCCCTCCAGCTTGGTGCTGGCAGCAAGGGGAGGTCCCTGCTCACAGACTGGTTTGGGTGGGAAGGGACCTTTCCGGGCCATCCAGTCCAACCCCCTGCAGGGAGCAGGGACAGCCCCAACTAGAGCAGGGTGCTCAGAGCCCTCAACCTCCCCTGGGATGGTGCCAGGGATGGGGCAGTGACCACCTCTCTGGGCAGCCTGGGACAGGGGCTCAACACCCTCAGATTCCAAAATTTCTTCCTTCTCTCTAGTCTAAATCTCCCTCTTTGAGTTTCAAACCATCTCCCCTTGTCCTGTCCCAACAGCCCCTGCTCAAAAGTCCCCCCCAGGTTTCTGGCAGGCCCCTGGCAGCCCCCAGCAGGTCTCCCCAGCTGGAGCCTTCTCCTCTCAGCTGCCCCAGCCCACCTCTCTCCTGCTGGGCTCCCAGCAGAGGGGTTCCCCCCTCGGGGCATTGCTGGGGCTCCTCTGGCCCTGCTCCAGCAGCTCCCTGCCTTGTGCTGAGCTCTAACACGAGCCCTCAGAGCCTGCTCTGGCCTTGTGGTGGGGAGGCAGCAGCCTCCCAGCACCCAGCTCCTCCAAAAGCATCTGTGACACTTGCTGGGGGTGCTGGCAGCAGGGTTCTCCTCCAGCAGGGCCAGCCGTGGCCTTTGCTGGCTCCACAAAGGAGGCTTTTCTCCCAGCCTCCCTTCCTCCTGCTCCCAGATAACACACTGAAAGCCCTTTGGTTGCCAAGGGTCCGTTTCCCAGCAAGGCTACTGGGGACTACAATGTGCCTTGGAGAAGATCCCAGCCCTGTCTTGGCTGACTGGGGAGCTGTGTGATGGGTTTCTTTTCCTTCCCAAGCCTCAGCATCACTTTATATTTACAGCATCATTTACTTGACTGCTGGATTTGTTGTTTTTTTTTTCCCCTTCTTTTCTTATTACTTTGCATTTCTAAATACAGGAAAATCAAATTACTCTTTCCACTCCATTTGTTGCCAAGGCTGTGGCAGCTAAAGCAGCTCCTGGCTCGTTGCAAGCAGGAGGGAAATGGGAACCCTGAGCTGGGGGGGAAGATGCTCCCCACTGGGAGAAAAGAGTGGGTGGAGGGGCTAAAAATAAGAGCCTTCCATTCTCCTGCTGCACGACAGAGACTAATTCACTGGGTTGAAGGAGGGATGCCAGAGCCAGGCGTGGTGTTTGGGGAGAGAGGGTTTCTTGGCCTTGAGGCCTGAGCAGAGAGCAGGGCTCTGGGGGCTGGGGTGTGTGTTCCCCCCCGTGGTGTTTTGATGGGCTGCTGGCAGGGGGGAGGTGGAGGGTGCTGGGGGTTGTGCCAGGGTAAAGGTGGGGCTCAGAGTCTGCTCCTAGGGCTTGGAAATACTCAAGTGATCCAGTGGGGTCCCCAGGGCTCAGTGCTGAGGCCTCTGCTCCTCATCTCTTAAGCAATGATCTGGGCCAGGGGATGGAGGTGCTGGGTATGCAGATGGCACCAACATGGGTGGGGGTGTTGGTCTGCTGGAGG